ATTCCTGGCAGTCTTAAGCGTTCCTGGTAGTTGTGTGGACATTCCAGTGGTAGGAAGGAGGCAGCTGGGAGCCTGTTCTCCAGCCCAGGAACTGAGTGGAGTCGGGTGGGATACGGGGCGTCACAGTCCTTCTGGGCCTTAGAGAAAGTGTCTGATTGGCCTGCAGCGTCCCTTGCCCCTGGGCCCCTGGCTGGCTGTGTTCCCGTGCCCTGAACCTGCTTTCTCCCCGCCTTGATTAGCACAGATAAGATCTGTGGACCGGCCTCTTCCAGAGAGGGCCTCGTCCCAAGAGCAGCTGGGGTGAGGACGGAGCAAGGGGCGGGTGTCCCCTGCTGTGCTGCCGCTGCTCCGCAGTTCTTCAGACCTTTTACTGAAGTGAGGCTTGTGTACAAGAAGGTGTGAAAGCGATGGCATGGAACTCCGAGAGCTTTTTTTTTTTTTTAATTAATTAATTAATCGGGTCTTAGTTGCGGCATGCGAGATCTTTCGTTGCGGCGCACAGGCTTCTCTCTTCTCTAGTCGTGGCGTGCAGGTTTTTCCCTTCTCTAGTTGTGGCACGCGGGCTCCAGGGCATGTGGGCTCTGTAGTTGTGGCGCGTGGGTTCCAGAGTGCGTGGGCTGTGTAGTTTGCAGCATGCAGGCTCTCTAGTTGAGGCGTGCGAGCTTAGTTGCCCCATGGCATGTGGGATCTTAGTTCTCTGACCAGGAATTAAACCTGCCTCACCTGCATTGGAAGGCGGATTCTTAACCACTGGACCACCAGGGAATTCCCTCTGAGAGCTTTTATAAACCAACACATGCTCAACGGTGGCCCTGCCCCTTGGGCCCACCTGTCACTACCCGGCATAGAGGCGGCTGCCTCTGATGCGCCCGCAGAGGCTCGTGTGCCTGATGTTGAACGTACGTAAGGGGATCGTGCTGGTGACTCCAGTGTGTCAGGCTACTGTCCCTCACCCCCTGGGAGCCACACCCAGGTTGTCGGGGGCAACTCCCGTGTGCCGTTTCTGCTGTGATGGACATTTGGCAGTTTCCCGTTGCGGCTGCTGGGAATGCCACGTGCAGGCCTTGGTGAGTGGCCATGTGGCCTCTGCTGGCCCCTGTCGCTGGAAGTGGCAGCCCTGGATGACAGGGCCTCGGGGTACGTGCAGCCTAGGAGGTGCTGCCAACCCGGTTGGAGGGTGTTAACCTGTGCCCTGCAGCCGGTGAGCCTCCACACTCTGGCCAGCGTGGGGTAGGGTTACTTTTCCATGCTAGCCATTCTGGTGGGCACGCTAGTGTCCCATTATGCTTTTAATTAGCATTTCCCGATGACTAATGAGGTGGAGCACACTTCTGTGTGTTTATTAGTCATTTAGATTTTTGTTGTTGTTAAGTGTGCTTCCAAGTCTTTTGTCCTTTTCTCTATTGATTGTGGTTTTTTCTTATTTAGTTCTGGAAATAGTCCTTTGTCCAATCAGATCATGTACACACATTTATGTAATTACATATTCTTATTATTCTTATTCATATTATGTAACATACATATTCTATGCATCAAATATCTCCTACCCTGGATTTGTCTTTTTTCTTGTAATGGAAAAAATTTATTTTTAAAAATTTTATTCGTCTTCCCTGGTGGTACAGTGGTTGAGAGTCCGCCTGCCGATGCAGGGGACGCAGGTTCGTGCCCTGATCCGGGAGGATCCCACATGCCGCGGAGCGGCTGGGCCCGTGAGCCATGGCCGCTGAGCCTGCGTGTCCGGAGCCTGTGCTCCGCAACGGGAGAGGCCACAGCAGTGAGAGGCCCGCGTACCGCAAAAAAAAAAAAAAAATTATCGAACTATAGCTGATTTACAATGTTGTGTTAATTTCTGCTGTACAGCAAAGTGATCCAGTTATACATATATATATCCTTTTTCATATTCTTTTCCATTATGGTTTATCACAGGATATTGAATATAGTTCCCTGTGCTCTACAGTGGAACCTTGTTGTTTGTCCATTCATTATATCTTAGTTTGCATCTGCTCATCTCAAACTCCCAGTCCTTCCCTCCCCCACCCCACCCCCTTTGCCAGCACAAGTCTGTTCTCTATGTCTGTGAGTCTGTTTCTCTTTCGTAAATAAGTTCATTTGTGTCGTATTTTAGATTCCACATACAAGTAATATCATATGGTATTCGTCTTTCTCTTTCTGACTTACTTCGCTTAGTATGAAAACCTCTAGGTCCATCCATGTTGCTGCAAATGGCATTATTTCATTCTTTTTTATGGCTGAGTAATATTCATAGTGGTAAAAATTTATAAGCAGAGGTTCTTAATATTATAGTCCAGTTTGTTAATGTTTCTTTTGTGGTTAGTGGCTTTTTGTGTCTGATTATGTGCACCTACTCTAAAACCACAAAGATTTCCTTCTACATTTTTTCTAAAAGTCTTACTGTCTTACTTTTAATGTTCAGAGCATCGGTTTACCTAGAATTGAGTTTCATGTTTTGGATGAGGTAGGGGTCAAGGTTCATTGTTTCCCATGTGTAAATCGTGTCAATGCAGCACTGGCTTTTTTTTTTTTTTTTTTTTTTTTTTTCTTTTTCATTTTTTTTTTTTTTGCGATACGCGGGCCTCTCACCGCTGTGGCCTCTCCCATTGCGGAAAACAGGCTCTGGACACGCAGGCCCAGCGGCCACGGCTCACGGGCCCAGCCGCTCCGCGGCACGCGGGACCCTCCCGGACCGGGGCACGAACCCGCGCCCCCCGCATCGGCAGGCGGACTCCCAACCACTGCGCCACCAGGGAAGCCCCTGCAGCAGTTTTTGAACAGCCCCCTCTGTCCTAAATCTGGGGGCCTTGCGTGTGCACAGGTCACCCTTGAGTGTTGCCCAGTCCAGGGTGTGCCACGTGCCTCTCGCGTGTGGACACGGTAGCGCCAGGTGGGCGGTGCTGTCCCTGTTTACCAGGCAAGAACTCTGCTCTCAGAGGGGGCAGGCAGCTTGCCTAGGGCCAGCTGGCGAGGGGGTCTGGATGCCCTCCACGGGGGCTGGGCAGGGGCCGGATCCCGGCTGGGGTTCAGGGTCGGGCACAGGAAGCGCAGAAACCAGCTCAGGCAGGAGTGTGCCTCATTCTCGCCGGCGACCTGGGCCATGAGGGGCCAGGCTGGGAGTTACTGTTTCCCCAGAAACCCAAAGGCGTAATAATGTGGCTTCTGCTCTCAGGGCGGTGCCTTCCCGACTGATGCTGAGGGCATCCCACTGACCTGCTGACATCCGTCCACCTGGGTCCTCAGGAAAAGGCTGCGATGTCCCAGACACAGGACTACGAATGCGAGAGCCATCGTGCTGGCCTGCAGGAGTCTCGGATTTCAGGATCTAGCACGAGGTAAGGAGGCTGACTGACCGGGGGCCAGCGAAGCAGGAGGCTTTTCCTTGGCTTGTCAGTGCTGTCCCGCCTGCCTGCGTGGCCCGGCCCCGCCCTCCTCCACGAGGAGCCGTGTGCCGCCTTCTGAATCTGGCATCCCCGGGGAGCCCCGCCTCCTGTCGCCAATGGGCTGCAGAGCAGGGAGGGCTTCTCAGGCAGTGGACACCCTGCCAGCCCTCAGCTGGGCCCAGCCCCCTAGGCGCCCTCTGGGCATCCACGCCGAGGCAGGTGGCCACAGATGATCACTTGCGTTTTTCTAATTTATGGCTTTATTTGGGAATAATTCCACAAGTTGCACGAACAGGAAGAGTGCTCTGAGCATCAGGTCCCCTTACCCAGATTCATGCTCTGTGCCGCCGTGCGGCCGCTGCTCCTTCCACAAACAGCACTGTTCTGAGTCATCTGGGGGGACACGCACGTCCAGCCCCGTGTTTGCTCACATCTCCCAGGACAGGAGGCGCCGTGCGTAAATCTGTGCGATGGGAAGCACCCGCCTCCTGTGCCGCCTGGTCTGGCTTTGGCCGCTGGCTCCTTGCCGTCCTTCGTGGCGTTTCTGGCCCCTCCAGCACCGCTTACCCCGAGTCTGCTGCGGCTGCACGTCTCCTTTGTGTTTTGTAACCTGGAAGATTTCCACTTCCTTCCTCTGCCTTTTGTGACATAGACATTTTTTCGGGGAAGTCACCCTTGTTAGGATAGAGCACTCGGGTTGGTTTTTCTGATGATTTCTGAGCAGAGTGTGTCCTTCTGCACCGCCACCTGCCGCCCACCTGCTCTCGGGACAGTGGCTGTTTGCCTCGCTGCTGTGCTGCTCGCCAGTTTCGGGGCTTCCACCATTTCTTCCTTGACCTGGGCCTTCCTGGGGTGGGTGCAGAGCTGGGTGCCTTCCTAGCCACGGCACCCAGTCCACACCGGCCGGCCAGTGCCCCCCGTCCCTCGGGAGCAAGAGCCCCTCCTCCCCATTGCTGTGTTCACTTGTGAATCCCTCTCAGTGTGGAATCACAAATTCCGTTCTGTTTTCCGTGGTTTGTCGTTCATCCCGCACTTAATGACTTGGTGCTCTGCTGTACCAGATGGGCCGGTGAGACTCCTCCAGGCTGGCCCCGGTGATCCCTGGTGGCTTCCCCGGGCTCCAGGTGCATCCTGGGCTGCCTCCCCCCACCCCCCGTCAGCTGTTTCTCTGAGGGGCCCCGTTCCCCAAGGGAAGACCAGGGTCTAAGGACCAGCGCGTGCGCTCGTGGCTCCTGCAACGTGTGTGTTTCTTGACCCTTTAAGCAGAAGGGCTAGAAGCGCTGAGTTGGTGTGGACATCTCTGGTCGCGGCCGGCCCTTTTCTGGGGCGTTTTCTTGCCACCTCCTGTACCACCATCCTGCGCCTCCTCCAGGAGAGCCCTGTTTCCAAGAGCCGCAGTGCAGTGACTCGTTTGTTCAACTGACAGTGTGTCCAAGATGGTTTCAAAGTCGCTTGCCCATTCTGCTACAGAGGTGTGTGTGTGTGTGTGTGTGTGTGTGTGTGTGTGTGTGTGTGTACATACACATACTAGAAAAATGTCCAGGACTTATTTGCACGCCCACATGCACC